TGCAGCCATCATTGTTGTTTGGCGGGTCCGGGCTGGGGATTCGAACCCACCACCTTAGGTGTACGTGGCTGGCGCCCTAGCCGGTTGAGCTATAGGCGCCGAGCCAACTCAGTAAATGTTAACATGGACATGTAATACTATGAAGGATACACAAATGTGAAGTACCCTTTTACATCTTCTTAAAGAAGTTGTGCAAAAAAGAAACTAATTAGCATACAAATGCTTTTCTGCAACAAATATTCAAGAAATATAAAAGATCAAGATACTAAAAAGAAGACTGAATCAAATTGCTTTACCTCTTTGTGTTTCATATCCAAGTGAGTCCTAAGAGTCTTAAGTTCCCGGTCTCGGCTGTCCAAGCAAGCCTCTAGAGCATGTGTCTGATCTTCCCATTCAGATTTTTTATGAGCCACCATGATGTCAATCTGTTTCATGAGCTCCTGCAGTTCTGCTTCACAGGATGTCAAAAATCCCCTATAAAAAAAGAATAGATCATTAAGAACACAGAACACAAGCCCCAGTGACTTTTCATCTTTCTCATGAAAATATAGTAGATATAAACCTACCTGCAAGACAACAATGTCAACTAATAAATTACCAGAAGCAAAGAACAGGATGCCTGAAATTTTGCTTTTAATGCTCATATTAATATGATTACTTATTTCGTCTTCATCTAATGCAGTGGTTCTTAACCTGTGGGTCGCAACCCCTTTTTAACAATGAACATACACTGCAGCATTAGGAAGGTTGAAAACCACTGATCTAATGGCCAATCTAAAGCCCAAGCCATGGGGTGGGGCCTGCCCCATATGCAGGGTAGGATGCCAGCCCCATATGCAAAAGGGTAGGATGCCAGCCCCATATGCCAGAGGTGGCAGGTTCAAACCCAGCCCTGGCCAAAACAAATAAATAAATAAATAAATAAAGCCCAGGTCATTTGGTTAACCACAAGACTGATATTATAAGTTTAGCTTGTAAGAGTAAGACTTCCACAAATAACTAGCACTTCTGTAATACTTTAGGGAAGCTTTCTGAAAGAATACAGATAAGCCTGTATATCACATGCTCGTCTAGCCAAAATAAAAAGCCTTAGAAGAAAGCTGGCTACCATGCATAAAAATGATAATACAACTTTAAAAGTGGCTTCAAGAAATTCATCCCTGAGCCAGATTTATTTCAGCTCTTTCTTCTGATCTTATTGTTAGAAACTTACTGCAATCTACCTTATTACTATAAACTTACTGATGTCCTTCCATGTTTCAGGAAATGCCAAATACTGCAGACGTGAAAACAGAGGTAGACATAGATGTGTTAGATACAAAGAAGTTTCCAGAAATGTCCACAGAGAGCTATCACTAAGGCTTAAATACTTTTTAAAAGAAGCACTTGTTCTTAGTATCACAGAATCTCTGTACTTTTGCTTTTTAATAGAAACCTCAAGGTGAGACCACGGCAAGCCATCTGACTTCACAGAGCTGAGGTGAAGTAAACACGCCAAAAGAAGACATGTCCACAACCATGACATGGGGCAGCTTAGCTTTGCTCAACACTTTTGTTTCTAGATTCTTCAAAGCACAATATAGTCAAAGGTATAACACAGATAAGCTTTTTAAACTGTAGTAAGAAGCTCCAGGTCAAAGAAAACTTAACACTCTCTTACAACCAGGGACCTAGGGACAGGCCTGCCCTTCCCTCTGGCACACAAGTACACCATCTAGGGGCCTAAAGAAAGACCCTTCTCTTCAACCACCACTGGTACCCACCCACATTGTCCAGGGCCCTGGTGACTGATCCACTCCACTCACCACCAGCACCAACATGCACCATCTGCGGACCTGAGGCGAGGCTCAACTCCCTGTCACTGCCACCACCAGAGGCTGTGCACATCATCTGGGGACCTGAAGATCAATCTACCCTGCTCCCCATCACCAATGCCTGTGCACACAACCCAGGGGCCAGAGGACATTCCTACCCTGCCTGCCACTGCCATCATGGTACCTGAAGACCAGGATGCGTGGCATCCTCATCCATAGCAAAGCCTTGCCACAGCCTCTACCAACAACTTCAGTGTAAGTCACTGAGGAACTTGCAGACACAACTGACACTGATTATAGGTGAAAAAATCATGTACAGACTATACTATTGCACCCACTAAGAATCAAAGTCAGAGTAACCTACCCAACTAACACTATAGATACTCTAAGGGAAAAAAATCCTTAAAATTGGAAGCCAATCTATAAAATTGGAAGCCAATCCATAAAATTGGAAGCCCACCCATAAAACTAGAAGAAGCAACTGTTATACCAGATGGGCAGGTATCGATGTAAGGACACAAGAAATGTGAAAACAAAAGCAAACATGACAACTGCAAAGGAACACAGCAATTCTCTGGTAACAAGTCCCCCCAAAAAAGATGTATGCAATACCAAAAAAAAAAAAAAAAAAAAAAAAAA